TTCAAGTGATGCATCTTAACGCTCCGAAAGTAGAAAAAAGTTAAACAAACCCGTGTATTTAATTTCATCCTCTTCATTTTCGCCCCAGTAGATTTGCGAGGGCAGAGTCGGACTGAGTGATTTTCCTTTAAGAATTAATTAAAATGTGATTCTAATGTTTAATCTACAAGAATCTGTAAACATGATAAGAAAACCTTGATGACATTTTTTCGATTACTTACGCCGTTGTGTTTGGTCTCTCATAACCGACCACAGCACCAAGCAAATGAGTTGTTTCAGCCTCGATGCAGTTTATTTAATTTTGACAGCTTCAGCTAGCTTGCCAGAGAGTAAGCGATCCCAATATTTATACGATACTTTCCTGTTTTGCTGCGGTGTTTTGGTAAGGCATAATTGAATTGAGGAATACATTAATAGACCTTGTCACGGTTTTCCACGCCATCTTGACGAGTAGGCAAACGCGTGAGAAATTACAGTGTTTGTATGAGAATCTAATGTCGAATAATTTCCGTAAAACGGCTGTTCTGAAAAAAATATCAATTGTAAACTAAAGCTACAAAGCAAATCAGTCTTCAAATGTAAAATTACCGACATCTGAGCTGATGAAGACTCGTATGAAACTGAGGACTGCCGGCTGTTAAAAGCTTTTGTTTGTAATATCCACTCTTGTTTTTCCCATTAGTCTTAACTGAACACCCAAAGGATAAGAAACATCCCCACATTCTTACATCACATTTTTACAGCTTAGGAACTTTTATTTTAATGGTCACTCCTACAGTGTAGTTGAGGATTTTATCCACAGACGTAAAATTGAAGAAAAAAATCCTTTGCATGCTAAATATAACGAACAGTTCCACATGAAAGAGTCGCTGAATGACTTTCCTTACAACAGCGTTGGGGGAATTTCTAAACCGTGAAAATTTCGATAGAATCCAGCCTGAACGTAACATGTACAGTACATATAAAACACTATTGATGGGGAGTGGCTTCTGTTAAATACTGAAATAAGAGTCCGTGGCTTATCTCCTTGCACAGAATGAAACGATAAAGCTCTTATTAACCGATAAAAGACCTTCATAGGAAAGTTATGGATATAGCTAACCTGTATCAGGGGCACCCAACCAGAATATAGTTCAAAACTACTTAAACATAGCATTGTTAAACGTATTTTAGTATTTAAACGGTAGATATAGGCATATTTTCATCCCCTAAAAATTTTTCACCTGTTCGGATTTCCTAGCTGAAAGTCTAGTGATCCCAAAATGATAGGGATCAAAACTTACCCTGTCGAAAATTTCAGGCAGAAAAAAGGCTCCCGAAAATTGTAGGTGACCTTTTTAGGGTAAAAATCCGTTAAAAATTGGCAATTGTACCATTTTTTAGATGTTCGAAAATGCTAGGAGAGGCAGGCAAGCAAGAAATTTTACAACAAATGTTCCGAAAATTCTAGATCTCAAACGTCTTCCGAACAGATATTTTTCCGAAAATTGACGTTGGGTGCCCCTGCTGTATAGCATGCTAGCTACTGCCAGACGAGTCTCGTAAGATGGTTCTAACTTTTGAGTCTGTGGACAAAAATGATTAACTGAGACGTTTTTGTCAAGATACTTTTGAATTGGAACTATTTTTTTTCAGCAATTTACAAAATGAACTTTAGAAATTTCATTCAATTTTTAGATGGCCACCTTTCGCAATGAAACGATTATTAGGTGCAAAAACAAATGACGAGGCTGGTATTCTCCTCTCTCGCGCTAATATAGTAACTTCAGTCGTGCCAAGCTCTCTTATTTAATTTGCGTCCAGCATTTCTTATCACCTGCCATGCAAGTAGGCTTCATCTGAATAGTCATACGCGATATTCTAGGCCCCTCGATACTCCCCAACCTTGGTTTTAAAAATCCGAGAATTTTTGTGGCTACGATTCTGAGACACAAAGAAGCACAGAAACATTAGATTTCGCGACTCGTGATCATTGAGGAGATTGGATTCAAAAACTTTCCGGTACACAAAAAATTCCTAAAACCTACGGTTTCTTAGATACAGACCGAAATCGCTACATCCTCTACAGAGAATAAATATGTTTGTGTTGCTTGAAATTGTCATTTCAAAGGCCCAGAAATGTATATCATCCTTAGATTTTTTTATTTTTTGCACTATTACCGGAGATTGCAACAAAGATTGTAATTATATGAGAATGAAATGTGCGCAGTGACCAGTTGCTCACTGCACGTGAAATTAACTGGCGTCAGTAAGGTTTTGAAAAATTCGCGACATTTCTTTTTTACTTTGGCCAGTCTTTATACATTTCTGTTGATGTCAGCATTTTGCCACGGTTAAGTTGACAGATTTTCCTGTGAAATAGTTTTGAACAAAGACAACTTTTGAGGCCTAAAGTCAGCCTTGATTTGCATTCATACATTTATCCGATCGATTTACGAAGAAATTATCTACTTTCCTATTTTTTTTTTTTTACTGTTTGGTGTAGTTACAATCTTCAAGTGATGCATTTTAACGCTCTTCATTTTCGCCCCAATAGATTTGCGAGGACAGAGTGAGTCGTTTAATTAAAATATGATTCTAATGTTTAATCTGCAAGCATCTGTAAACATGATAAGAAAACCTTGATGACATTTTTTCGATTACTTACGCAGTTGTGTTTGGTCTCTCATAACCGACCACAGCACCAAGCAAATGAGTTGTTTCAGTCTCGATGCAGTTTATTTAATTTTGACGGCTTCATGATCAGCTAGCGTGCCAGAGAGTTAGCGATCCCAATATTTATTCGATACTTTCCTGTTTCGCTGCGGTGTTTTGGTAAGGCATAATTGAATTGAGGAATACATTAATTCCTTCTATTTATTAATGGACTCCATTTAACTATGTTAAATCTAGCAACAACGATGAACAGAACATTTATTGATTAATTTTCTCTCTTTACATCCACTTGCCTCCTTTAAAATATGTTGCGGATATTTTTGTAGGTGGAACAAAGTGAGAAATGTTAATACAATTGAAGAACTGGTTTTATTTCAGATATAGTTCGTTGTAGTTCTTAGAGCGGTTTTCACTTGACTGTCGTAAAACCAAAACCAAAGTAAATACACTAGCCAACCAAACGGCGTAGTAAAACCAAAACCAAAACCAAAACCAAAACCAAAACCAATCCCTTTCGACAGTCAAGTGAAAACCGCTCTAAATATCTAAGACTAAGAATACAGGGTGTTTCAAAAGTTCGTTCCGATTGTAAATTGTATTTTGCGCCAAGCATTTAATGCAAATGTAAACTGATTCAGGTAAGAAATTTACCTAAATAACCGTTCAAAGCAATTTCAAACTAAAATTGAAGAAATTATATTTTTGAAGTTTTGGCCCAAATGTGCTCGTACGCGAGTTTTTTCCCGCCATATATTTCCTGCCCATTTTGTAGGTTTTCTTTAATTTTCTCCACTCTGTCACGAAAATGAAGGCCTAGACTAGCTGTCTGCGCTAAAGCTGAGGCATCTATTTTTTTTGGTTCTCTGACCATTCAGTCAAAGAAATTTGTTAAACTGTTGACTAAAGTCTGAATTATATAAGTGAACAAGTGTCGAAAGTTAAGACTTTGGAAGACAAACCAAGGAGTGTATGGCCGTCTTTTTTTAAATGTGTGAGAAATGTTATCGAAAAAGCTGTAAGTATATGCGTAATAAATCTANTTGTCAGTAGGCGTTATGAAGCCATGTACGCATTGTTGTTTTTTGTAGTATGTAACATATATGGATGCGAACGGACTAGAACAGAATGTAGTGCTCTCACAGCTTAAACAATGCCGCTCGCACATGCTCACTCAAAGAAAAAGAAGACAGAAAAATAGGTTAATCTGCATTCAATTAAGACTCTTGCGCACGCGATTTGAAATAAAAGACACGTGAATCGAAAATGACTTTGATCTTTTTTTGGGGGGGGGCGGGGGTGAAGAGGTGAGATGGAAAACTGTGCGTACCTACGGAAAAATCCTGGCTACGCCCCTGCCTTCCTTTTAAATTCGATATACATAGACGGCACATAGCGTTATTCAGTGTGACTGAGAATAGTTTGAATCGATGATTGTTATCACTATTCTTTAATTAGCTGGTAAACGGCAAACTGATTTTGTCATGAGAAAATCTTTCAAAAGAGTATAAAAACTGAAAGAGTAAAATCTGATTTTATTGGGGGTTCACTCTCTACTAGGCAAGATAAAACAAAGCTACAACAAAATCCTTGAGTTGAAATTTCCTTGAACCAAAGTGTCAACAGAAGAAAATTGAAATTTGTTAAGCATTTTTTGAAGTACGCAAGCTGTATTGATTTCAGTGGACAACTTGTAGAGACGAATTGTAATTGGCGGAAAGTCGAGCACAAGATTTATGCTTTCTTTCCACACTTTCTGTGTTGCCAAGGTTGCCAAGCAACGCCATGGCTGGTCAAATAATTAACAATATTGCCGTAAAGTTTATTGGTCCATGGTGTCAAGGGATTGCTTAGAGCACCGACACCTTGTTACATTCATGACAACCCTTCGACTGCAATAAGCGTTTTTTGTTAAAATAATTGTTTCTAACATGGTAACTAAAATGAGGAGAATATAGTTTCACCTTTTTATAAATTAACGATGTGACAGCCATGACTGTGTCAGATTTGATATTTAAAATCACTTCAGATCTATAACAAACCTCTGAGCTCCTCGGCGTCAACATCAGATTTTCATATCAAGCTTATCGCCAGTGGTGTTTAGAGAATTTTTCGAAAGCCAACAGGTTTGGTGTAATCAGTTGTCTTCTTCTTTAAATAAAATAACTTCTATGACGTCATGTGCAAGGTCTTATTGTATTCCTTACGAGAACAAACCTGAGTTGGTTCTTATATTTTATATTTCATTGTGCGCTATGAATAATGGTGAAACTGCTTGGAGCTAACTCACACGTGCTCGACTGTCTCTTCACAAAAGAACACTGCTTGTAATTAATTATCCGGCCTTGATGTGTCATAAACTAAAACTGTATCTACGTTTGAATTCACCTCACAGATTGCAAGACGAGCAACTTCGAGTAAGCATGGGAGATTGGGTTGTTGTGGGCGCTTCTTTGCTGCTAATGTTTTTAGACCAAACTACATCTGTTGAGTCTCACTGCCGAACTGTAGAGTCAATTTCAAATCGAGCATTACATGGTCACGTGATCGCAGTAGCACAAACCTTGTCCTTGGAGAGATGCAGTTTCAAGTGTGAACGCAAAGCAGATTGTTATAGTATCAACTACATGCTGACCTCCAACTCCTGTGAGTTGAACAAGGGAACTCGTTTGTCGCACCCAAAACACTTCCTTCCGCGAGAAAACACAGTTTATATAGATAATCTTCATCGACGCTATCACACATGCGTTCATCCTCCTTGCCAAAATGGCGGCACTTGTGTAGCACTACCAGAAAGTCCCGGATATAAGTGTCTGTGCCAATCAAATTACAGTGGCGACGATTGCCAAGGTAAGAAAATAATTTCCCAAAATGTGATACATTTCAAACCAGATTGCTGTTACCATTCTCACTATAGAGAGCCAAGCAAGCTGCGTAAGCTCATCCAAGAGCGCTAGAGCGAGCGGCGAGCGAGACTTGAAGGGGCGATGTCAAGAGGATATTGCGGATTTAGGTCAATTCTGAGCTATAAAAACATCACGGATCAAGTTAGGTTTCTGGGAAACCTGCTCACCTACCCCTCTCCTAAGCTAACATTAACACTTACTTCTCACGTAGGGCAAAATGTTGGCTTAGGGGAGGGGTAGGTAGACAGTTTCTCAGACATTGCCTTTAACCATACCAAAAAAGTTCCTGTAGAGTGATGAAAAAGATGTCAAACAAATTTGCATCCATGTCTATCTTTGCCATCTATGGCAACAGACGACAAGAAACCGTTTCAATACCTTAATATAGTCTTAAATCAGCCTAGTCTCTAGGCGTTCTCGGCTCGGTCAATATGTAAAGCCCCGTGCAAACAGACGCAACATTGTTGTTCAAAAACTCCCAAAATTGTTGGATGTTAGATGTTGCGTCCGTTTGCACACTCTGTTGTATGTTTTTGCGTGTTGTTGGGAGTTGTTGCACAAAGTTTGAAAGCAGTCAGACTTTTAGCTACGTGCAAACGGACGCAACAATGTTGCGTCCGTTTGAACAGGGCTTAAAAGTTATTGAAAGACTAATTCATTGCGTGCAGTAACTCGTTCGATCGCTTGCTCAAAAGTCTCGTACGCTTACATGACCTTTTTAAAGCGACTGCGTGAAGGAGTTCTTTTTCCTCTATTTCTTAAGCCCACTACGCTTCCACTGGAATCACGCATGCATTGTTTAAAAAATTGGAGAAGGTTTATTGATTGATCGTTTGATCGATTTGTTGACTCACTGGCTGTTAACCGCCCTAGATTTCTATTTATTTCTCAGGCGAAAAGTTTAAGAAAATTTGTTTGTTCATCTCTTGGCACAGTTTGTAATGAAGTGGCTTTAGGGATTCAAGACTTATCCATACCAAACTCTGCAATCTCTGCGTCAAGTTTCGAGGCCGACAGTCCTCCATCTAGTGGTCGTATTTACAAACCTGGCGGATGGCGCGCATTAAGCAACGACACCAGTCCATATTTGGAGGTAAGTACAACACTACTTTTATTTATTGTATCGGTTAAACGGAACGAGTTTCATTCTGCGCATATTTAGAAAAAATCAACATATTGGAATGCTTTGGCGCTTATTATAGTATACGGAAAAGGATTAATTTCTTTTGGACAACAAGAAACGTTTGCTTTGAAAGTCCTCTATGTTCCGAGTTTTCTGTTGCTAACAGTTTAGGCCCCAAACATTTCTATGTAAGATGCAAATGACTGTTTCTATCGTAAACGCGGTTTGGATAAGCAGGAAATTTCAAGCTTCTTCGTTCAAAAGGGGGGAAGCTGATTACTGTTAAGGAGTAGTAGAAACGTCACTGATATGATAGGCAATTGTCTTGTTCTTATTCCTTGAACCTTGAGTGACTCCACGAGAACAGTCTCCCTCCTGCTCCCTAAAAGCATTCTTTCTATCTACATAGAAGTGGTGGCCATTTTTTAAATGAGAACGCAAAAGAGAGAGACAAACACTATAGAAGCGTCTCTGCTCAGGTGTCTGCTTACATAGATCGTCTCGTTTTCTTTGACAGATACGTTTTACGTCTGCAAAATTGCTGATAGTTGTTGCCACTCAAGGCTGGCAAAATACTAAAAATGCGTCATCTGACTGCTGGACTACAGAATATTTTCTGGAGTACAAGAGTACTGCAGCTCGATGGACTGAATATCAAAGAGGCGGCGTCAGGAGGGTGAGGAAGAATGGCAAAGTATCATATCTGTACAATTTGAAACTTCAGTCTAGTTCTTGATCAAACATTCTGTGATCATCAGACGTTATGATTTCTCGAAAGGACGTTGACACATTACCGTAGTGTCTTCTTTTTTAGGCCGCCAAATATGTTTTCTTGCAATCTTGAGACTTTTTTAGGGTACGTGGGCCAGGGAATGATAATTTTTACAGTCACCATCGAATCGTTTAAAAATGTACACGCACAGTGAATCGACCGGAAATTTAACACTTACGTGAACTTTAGCCTGCCACATGTCTAAAAAAAATAGAAAATGAAAAGAAAAAAAACAAAAACGCTGTGATGTTTGCAATCATACTGTGTTTGAAGTAATATGTCAAGAACGAAGGTAAGTGCTTCATCACGGGTTCCAAACACCGAGAGACAGATGAAAACACGAGGCAATAGGCCGACTTCTTTCATTTGTTTCGAGGTGTTTGGAACCCGTGATGAAGTACGAAGTCCAGTTTTTACAAGTCTTCTCAAATGATACAATAAAAATACAAATGCAAGTGTTTGATCTCAGATTAAAAACATGTTCCATCGCAGATGAAAACCAGCTGGTGACGTTTTATCGCGTGTTTCATTAAAGGAGCTGTGTCATGAAATTCAGCCAAATTAGGAAATTACAAAATGCCCGTTAAATTAGGAGAAACATAAAAATAACCGCTTAAAACATTAAATGAAGGTTAAAATAACACAACAGAAACAACAGATGCCACGGATGGGCAAAACTGAAGAAGATTGAAACGGATTGAAATTAGGGTTTTTGAAAACTGTTCAGCCTAACAGTCTTTCAAAGTTGATCCCTGCTGCTTGCAACTTCAAAAATAATGCTCAGGAGACAGATTTGTTTGTCTAGGATCTCTGATTTTGTCATTTACATGTAATATTTTTCGCTTACTTTAAGTTCCATGGCGATTGAGGGCGAGTAATTGGCAAAATTAAACAAAACAAGAATCACTTCGTGAATTTTATCGGGGCCACTTTTGTCTTGGCAACCCACGTGGAAGGGTCGTTTTCATCAACAAATTTGTCGGGCGACCTGAAAATCTTTTTTATTGCAAATATTCTTTAGAGATGAAAACAAGGTGTAATGAATAATGTGAAAAGAGAAAATGTTAGGGAATCCCTCATTTTGAACAGTTGAGAGTTTTCACTTGTCGCTAACGCAAATATTGCGTGACAAAGGTTATGTGAAACAGTCTTTTTTGGTTTTTCATTAGTTAAAGCAGTGATATTCTTTCTTGTGTTAAATGAGTCTTAATTATTTGTCGGCCAATATTTGACGAAGTTTCCTGTAGCGAGTGCGAATTGTAAGGTATTGAAACGCACAAACAAAGTTTCGAGCATGCAGGTTCAATAAGTTAAGATTTTTGTTTTGTCGTAGTGTACACAGTTCAACAACGACTAAGCTTTGTCATCGTTAGGATGAATACTGTAACAATATTTTTCCATAAACAGGGATCTCATTTATTGATAAGTAGCAAACCATTCCGTTCCAAAACTAATGGATTAATATTTGGCCTAAGCCTATTTAGTGAATAATTAATTTTCTTTGAATTATTTCAATATACTTCTAAATCACAAAGGTAAACAATTATGTCCAGTAAAGGTGAGGGCATCAAAACGTCCTAGCAATGTGTTAATGCAAATAAGGAAAGAGGAAAGGGCAAGGGGAGGAGGAGGGAAAAAGTAATTTGTTCGCATGGCGAGTGTGTTAGAACGAATGACTGCGTTGCAGCAAAGGTAGGCTTTTGTACATTATGCTAGCATTTTTTCGAGCGTTTTAGTGAGGGAAAAGCAGTGAGCATTATTTGAGCATTTTAGTGGCATTTTCCCCAGAAAATTAATTTTTTCCGAGAAAATAAAATAGAAATTAACTTTTTTCAGGAGCCCATGCCCCATGAGCTCCTGCTTTTTTAAAGAAAATGAAGACTAAAACTCCAAATTCACAAAAAACCTAATACAGCTGTTTTTTTGGCTGTATTTATGAACTTGTACACGTTGTCGTTGTTACTTGCACGTTTTTGTAAGTGTAAACTTTGAAATTAATTAAAAAAACCGTTTGTATAATGAGCATTATCCGAGCATTTTAGTGACTTTTTTGGGGAGACCGAGCATTTTAGTGGAAAAAATGGAGCATTAAGGTGGAGCATTTTAGTGGGGAAGCAAAAGCATAATGTACAAAAGCCTAAGCAAAGGTCACATGTAATTAAAACTCCAGAACAATAGATGAGGGTTCAATATATTAACACATTAACATGAGTCAACTCCCAATCCTAGACTGTCAAGTTACGCAGTTTTTCTCACGTGTTCAGATCGATTACATAATAATAAGATATAATCCAAAGTAGCTAAAATTAAAGGAGGAAAACATAAAATTTCTACATCAACGTCTAATGAATAATGTGAAAAGACAAAATGTTAGGGAATCCCGCATTTTGAACAGTTGAGAATTTGCGCATCACGCTAACGTAAATATTGCGTGACAAAGGTTATTTGAAAATATTTTGTTTTGTTGCTTCATAAGTCAAAGCAGTGATAGACTTCCTCCTAATGAGTTTTAATTGTTTGTCGGAAAATATTTGACGAAGTTTCTTGTTAAACAAAGCTTGGCGCATGCAAGTTTAATAAGTTAAGATTTTTGCTTTGTACACAGTTCTACGTCGACCAAGCTTCGTCATCGCTAGGATGAATACTGTAACAATATTTTGCAATAGACAGGGATCTCATTTATTGATAAGTGGTAAATCCATTCCGTGTGCAAACTAATCGAATTAATATTTACATGGTTCTGAACTAGCGATATATCTCAGCGAACACTCCCAAAAGTAACGAGCCAGCGATATATCTCAGTCAGCGATATATCCTTAACAAGGTAACTTTGAAAAAACGACAGAAACGCGTTGCATTTTATGACCGGTGCCAGCCTTCGGCTAGGCCCCAGTAATGAACTGTACTGCCATGACACATGTCATTTATTGGCTTTTGACTAAGGAATGATTGATGAGTTTGAGAATTTCTGTTCTCAACAGGTGTTTTCTGGCAACTCGGACGCAGCTAGTGTGGTCAGAAATCGTATAAGCAGTCCATTTCACTGTACTGCGGTACGAATTCGTGCAATAAATTGGCAAAATCGTACGTGCATGCGCAGTGAGCTGTTTGGTTGTGAGGCACACAGTTGAGCAGCTGAGAAGAGAGAGAGACAACCACTTGCAAAACTGAGCGATAGAAAAAGCGTTGTCATCATCATGGAGCTTCTTGTCAGATCTTACGCTGGTCGTGACCGACCGAGAAATCTAGGAAATTTTCAAGGAAACCTGCAGCCTCGTTCCCAGTTGTCGTCGGCGATTTCGGGCACGTGACGTCACCTGCCATTCTTGTCGTGGTGTTTCGCCCATCGAACGCGGTTCCAGGCGTCCTCCGCTCACTCGGATAGGGCAAAAGACCAATTCATGGAGCTAATACCAAGAAAGTGGGGAAAATGAAAGACTCATTATATGAAAACTGATTAGGAGAGAAAAAACGATGAGAGATTGCAGAGGGAGTGCGAAGTTCGTCTGGCACCGAGACCTTGTGCCCAGGTCCCCTAATTAACAATTATTCCTCGAGCCCGAATGGCCTCTGAGTCAATAGCCCATGAGGCCGAAGGCCGAATGGGCTACTAATTCAGAGGCCATGAGCGCGAGAGGAATAATTGTTTAAGTAAAATCCAACTAGTTGGTCAAAAACATCGAGAATATAAAAGTTTTAACTAGTTAAAGCTAGACTTTAATCCTTTTTTGCCGCCAAAAAGCCGGCGCTTTTCGTTACTAGTGGGCTATAACATATAGCCTAGTAGTAGCTCAACCAATTAGAACGCAGCATTGATAATAGACCACTAGTTGGATTTTACTAACAACTATTATACGAACGCTAAAGCAGGTTGCTAATTAAACAGCATGGCATGAGGCTAATGTAGGACAAGGACTTGAAAAATCTTAGAAAATTCCGAGGAAAACATCGTTCTTTAAGTGCATTGGAGTGCTTAACTGTCAGACTGTAGTTCTCTAGATTAGGCAGCGTTCTATCTAGGATTTATCGTGTGGGGGAGAAGTCCCGAGTGGCCGAAGAGAAGGCCAGGAGCTTCCTAGGGGGGTCCGGGGGTATGCCCCGCCCCAGAATGTTTTGAAATGAGTATGCGCTGCGATGCAATCTGGTGCATTTTGAGACACAATCTTGAGAAATGTTACAGTGGTCTTTTTTTTTATATAATAATACTCCATGTTCATTGCCATATAGTGTCATTAGACAAGGAATACTGACTTCATTTGTACTGACCTGGTCGCGTCTGGATGATTTTTCCGATCTAGCTACTTATATACTGTAATGATAACAAGATTTTTTTGGGAGGAAGGCGGGAATTTTGAGGGGGAAGCTTCTACCCCTCAAATACCCTAGAGAAAACTTAAACCTGTTAGCTGTTAGCTGGGCCTTCGCCCTCTCTTTTAAAAAAGCAGGCTCTCTTAATGAATTTTCTTGCGAACCGCAATACAATTATCTTAAAACTCGATCTAGTAGCACTAGTAATAACAAATTGGGCGTGCGCCCGAAAGGGAACCATGATGGGGTGAAGTTAAAAAAGATGCACGGGTAATAAAATGTCCCTGTGAAATTGTGTGGGCGCAGATAAAAGTTCCGTTGAAAATGAAGGAAAGTTAAAGAAGACTATTATGATCAGGACTGCGCCTTATGACGAAATAAGTTAAATCTAGAACATGACATGGTAATTATCAATGTTACGTTAGCAAACGCGTTTCGCAGATCAAGTTTTATACTCATGTCAAGAACTGCGAGATTAATAGCCCGCGTGCAGACATAATGATGCAATCGTCCATAACTGCAAAAAAGTAAGTATGAGTGGTAAGATATACTGATGTTGAATGATGAAGACTTTATACACAGGACATTTTATGCCGTAC